TCTCTCTGCCGCGTGCACACGCTATGGCGCAGTCTCTCTCTCTCTCTCTCTCTCTCTCTCTCTCTCTCTCTCTCTCTCTCGTGCGTGTGTTCAGTCGATCACATGAACGTTCGACGCGCAATGCACGACTGTGTCGCGTGCGAACGCTCCCCCCGCTATATATCGCCCTGCGACGAAACGCGGGCCTTTTTTTTCGGGACCACAACCTCCCGAGAGGCTCCCCTGAACACCGCCGACACTCCAGCGCCCTCAGAGCCACCCCCCAGCCCTGACAGACCCCTGCGCAAACGCGTCAACTGCGTTCAGGGGCGTTCATTGAACGCGCGTTCAAAGCGTTCAAAAACTGAACGCCAAACGCGCGTTCAATGAACACGCGGTAACATAGGTCTTCGGACCTTTCACCACTTCAGTACCATTCAGGTCTAAAAATCCTGAATGGTCCTGAAGTGGTGAAAGCTCCTAAGACCCCCACCTGTTTAGGCAGGCTGCATCCTCAAGTGGTGAAAGGTGGTTTTCATGGTCTTCGGACCTTTCGGACCTTTCACCACTTCAGGACCATTCAGGGTTTTCAGACTGCCCAAAACTCTCACTTGACCACTTCAGGACACCCTTCACCACTTCAGGATGCAGCCTACCTAAACCGGTGGTTTTCAGGGTCTTCGGACCTTTCACCACTTCAGGATTATTCAGGATTTTCAGACGGCCCAAAACTCTCACTTCAGAATTTTCATTCCTGAATTTTCAGCTACCCGATAACCGCTTGTAAATTGGTGACAGGGAACCCCTATATGCACGAGGGGGTCAAAACCCTCTTAATCTATGAGTGACAAGTGTGACATGCACAACTCACGGCAGTAGGTTAGGGGGTCACATGGTCCTAGGGGTTAGGGGTTAGTCATTGGTCCAGGCCGTTTCAGACCAGAGGTCCGCTAGTTCAATCCAGGGCCTGTTTTAGGATCCATGTTGTTTCAGTTAGAGCCAGCAGCGGTTCAGGCCAAGGTCCGTCGTTTAGGACCCAGCTTACGCCCTGGTGCCAGTCAGGTGCAGTTTTGCGATCAGATGTTGGCACCAGTCTCGTTTCGTTAGCTACCACTTCCCCTTCAGATCGTGGGAAAGTTCGACATTGGTAAGGCCAGCCGCTCTTCGGATCAGCGCTATATGTAGCTTGTCCGCCTAGCAGCAAGCAGGTAGTTTATCCAGGAGCACTGTAGCATTAATCGACAGGGTGGGCGCTGTTAGTGAGTTAGTCTACAGCGCTGGGCGCTGTTAGTGAGTAGCGACATCAGTTGAGGAGACCTCGAGCTTGAGACTGCAGCGAGAGCTGCAGTGGGAGTGGGCGCTGTTAGTGAGTAGCGACATCAGTTGAGGAGACCTCGAGCTTGAGACTGCGGCGAGAGCTGCAGTGGGAGTAGAGTAGGAGTGGAGGCCAGGGGCTCTTCATCCTCTTCCTGGTACACTAGAGAGAGAGATTTGAGAGTTGAGACTTGATGACATTAGATTTTGGATCGACATTGGACAGATACATTGGGGGGGACTACTGTGGAAACTTCATGAATGATGATCGAGTTGACAACATCTGCATATCTCCACCTCCTTCGTCTCTTTCCCCTCCTAATTTGTGGATGTTTGTAGGTCTGGCGCCCTTCGAGTGTTCGAGGCCAGGTCCCCTCTCACCCTGCCGTCAGTCTGAGTCAGTTTGGTGAGATCGTGGTATAACAGTCTTCCGCTCGGCTATCATTGCTGTATCTCCTTGAGGTCGGTTCTTGGTTCTTATCCATGCCCTATAGGCATGCGACACACACACACAGAGAGAGAGAGAGAGAGAGAGAGTTGTCTGAGACTTGTATAAGACTTGAATATTCAAGTGATTCCCAAAGTTGTCTCATATTTCGTTGGTGTGCACTTCATGTGTAAAACCTTGTTTGATGAAGCATGACTTCGTGATGTTGTGACACCAGTGTGGAATCATGGGATCATTACACATTTGTTTTTTTTGTAGAGCTTCTTGTTTATCACCTCATGATATTGTATTGATGGTAATTTGCCCCCTGCTCTCTCTCTCTCTCTCTCTCTCTCTCTGTGTGTGTGTGTGTGTGTGTGTGTTTGTGTGTGTGTGCGTGTGTCTGTGTTTGTGTGTGTGTGCGTGTGTGTTTGTGTGGGCGCGCTGTATAGTGCGGCATGGATGCAGTACCTGAAACGAGGGCCAAATGGAATATTACAGCTAACTCCAGGCGCTTGCAACGCAGGCTTCTAGATGTTCAACCTGTCATATCTGAACACGATCTCAAACATGCTCATTTGCAACATGGCTCGTCCAACTGCTCGCGAGATGGTGGCAAAATGTGTGAAGAAAAAAGGTTTGGAAAAAATGCAAGTTTATCAGATCGCAATAGGGTCAGGCATGATCTTGGAAACCCTGATAAAGTAGAGAAGAGGAAGGACGATGTGCAGCAGCAGATGCCTGAACAGAAAGGAGAAAAAATAGCAGAAGGGATGAGAGTTAAACTCCGCCCAGATCCAGACGGTGAGGAGGTGGGTGATCAACAGACCAAAGTTGGTGGCGAGAAACAGAGTTCTATCCAGAAGGATTGAGTAAAGTCAGAAGTTGACAATATCGAGGAACAACAAAATGAGACACAAGTGAGCATTCATGGTATGATATATGCATCCAGTCAGTGTTTATGGTGATTTTCATCGAAATCCTTACGGTCACGAAGGCGAAGGGCGTTATCTCTGGCTTGTCTAAGGCGGACGCACTCGCCACACTTTGTGAATGAGTTGGATTTGGCAAGGTCGGCATGCCATAAGTACCTCCTCCATATGGAGTAGAAGACTTGCTCCGAAACGACGTTCTGACCCGCTACTTGCAAGTTCGCCTTGATGGACTCGTAGACAAGGGGCTTCGTAAAATACGCATGGAGCCTGACTTTAGGTCTCTGCGAGGTCCCCCTCACAACCATGTCGTTAGGCGTAGTATCTCCATGTTCTTCCACGAACCTTCTCACACGAGCCAGCATGGTCACATACTCCGGTCTCGGGTTCAACAATCCCCATCAACCATGTCGGCCACGGATTAACCTGTCTGACTTGCACTTGCTATAACGACGGTATGTGTTTCGACATATCCTAATTATTTTACACCAACCGGCGATGCACTCATGACGCTTGCACTGCACTGGTTGGACTTTTTCCATACCACCATCGAGGACAGTGAAATTGTCCAGGGTTTGCATCCACCACTCGACCCTCTTTTCGAGGGACATTTCATAATAAGCTTCGCGCACTGGTTTGATATCGTCAATGGTTAAGACCCGAAGACACTTGTTCTTACAACATTTGTGCGCTGGGACGAGTGCAATGTTAGTTTCATTCAATCGACATTTGGCCCTCTTCGAATGTTCTGACTTTCTAATGGCCTATTTTTTCGATTATATATTCTCCTTTGTCCAGGTAGGGAATGAGACGAAACCTGACGAACCGCTTCGGGAGTTCGAGGATGAGTCATAGACGGGGATCGCTGCGCTGCATCCAAAAAATCAGATTTGCCCGTGGGAGTGATCCTCGACAAATCAGACCGGGAGGACTCAGACAAACTTCAGAAATCCGTGTTTACAAAACCAATCTGCCAATTTTTCGTCGCACCCGTGGCTGGCATCGATAGAGCACGTACGTGGACCTGCGAACTCAACAAACCTAGGGGACAGTCAATTTTCTTGACTCACTTGCAATTGTCTTACCTGCATCGACACTTTCACACGGACGTTCCATTGCCTATTCCCGGTCAGACTCGTTTCTATAGGACGTATCGGACTGTTTCCGATCAGACCCGTTTTTATCGGGTGTACGACAGAAGTCCGTATCCACCAACGATCGACTATAGTCAAATGCTAGGGGTTGGGTAACTTCAATGCTTTCACACAGCCGACTGGTTGTCCGCACGACATCTGATCCAGTCGTTTTGGACACAACACAAAAATCTGTGTCCATGAATATCAATCCACCGGGAATCGGCTGTATATCCCGATCACTCTCACTATCGAGAATTAACGTTGTAGATATGCGCTGGCCATCGGGGGTAAAGCGAACAATACGACGCCGACGGGACGTCGTAGAGAAGCCCCAACA